GTGACCTGAGCATATACCAACATTCACAAGGGCATTCATGGAGTTGGCTTCAAGAAGTGTGCCCCTCGGGTATTCAACAAGATATGGGAATTTGCCATGAAAGGCATGGGAACTACAGATGTGTGCATTGATACCAGGCCTAACAATGCTGTCTGGACAAAAGGATTAAGAAATGTCCCATCCCGCATCCCTGTGCAGTTGTCCAGAAAACGTAATGAGGATGAAGATTCACCAAAGAAGCTCTATACTTTGGTTACCTATGTACCTGTTACTACTTTAAAAAAAATCACACCACTGCACTCCAGCCTGAGCAACAGAGAGATACCCTGTCTCAAAAAAAAAAAAAAAAAAATCAAAATAATGAGATATAGTATGTTAAAATGTTTAGCTCAGTGCTTGGCACACAGAAACAATGACTTACAGATATTGAATACTTTCTGTGTGCTAGGGACTGTGCTAAGCACTCTATATGTACAATTTCCTTCAAACTTTATAATAACTTAATTTTGATCTCCACTGGACAAATAAGGACATTAAAGCTAGAGTAACATTAAGCAGATTGTCTTATAGGTAGTAAGTAAAAAGTGGTTAACAACAAGGGGTAAGAGGGGGTTCTAAGGTGGCTCACATCTATAATCCCAGCATTTTGGAAGACTGAGGCAGGTGTATCGCTTGAGCCCAGGGGTTTGAGACCAGCCTGGGCAACAGGGTAAAACCCTGTCTCTATCAAAAATACAAAAAACTAGCTGGGTGTGGTGGCACACGCCTGTGGGTGATCCCAGCTATTCAGGAGGCTGAGGTGGGAGGTTCACTTGAGCCAGGGAGGTGCAGGCTGCAGTGAGCTGAGATTGTGCCACTGCTCTCCAGCCTGGGTGAGTGACCTGCCCACTCCCAAAAAAAGAGGGCTGTAAGGGATTGAGAAGTAGCAATATAACGAGGGAGAGTGTACCCTCCAAAATATTTAAATCGTGTTAAGGAGGGGAGAGGTTATTTTCCTCTTCTGATGCCACGACAATCCTTGTCAACACCATTCTTCACCACCACACTCCAGTCACATTTTACCAGTAGTCAGAGTCACCATTTGCCACCAGCTTAGCAGCGCTATCAATCTCTCATTCCTCCACTTTTGCAGACTATGGCAGGGCTCAGCTATCCCAAGCATGCCATGTCGTCCATTTGAGGCTTTACCAGTGAGTCCTTTGGAGACAGCAGATCATTGCTCAGATTTTTGTTCCCTTAGCTAATTTATATCTACGTCACTATTTTAGAGGACAATCTGCATACAATGATACATAGCTAATTCATGAGTATCTTTTTAACTTGGTTTCATTGTAGCTTAATGCAGAATATACTTACACAGAGTCATCCTGAAGTGATAATTAGAAAAGTATACGGATATTTTCAAATCAGTGTTTGATTTTATAATGTGTGACTATTCTCTTAAAAGCTTTAGAAAAGAGTTCAGGAATTCTATTTTTATGAGATTAGTATATTTTATTTGCATGCATTGTTTGTTAGGGATTCAATTTTTTTCACCTTAAAAATATTTGTTTTGTTTTTTCTTTTTTTTTTTAGTTTTTTTTTCTTTCACCTTAAAAATATTAATGTGGGGTTTACAAGCTCATAAATCAGTTACTGTTCAAAAAAAATTTTTTTTAAATAACATGTTTCTTGGCTAGTGCAAACAGTAAATCAGGTTTTTACTGTGTTTGTTTGATTAGCTTGGAGTCTAACAAACATTCTGTAAGAAGCTACCACCAAAGATAGGAGAAACAGGTACCCAGGCACTTCCTTCCTTACAAGTGACATTTTGTGCATTTCAGTACTGTTTACATGAGGAAAAGCAATATTGTATAAAAGTAATTAACATATTCACAATCAGGTTACATACCCTCGTTTCTCTTCAGGTCGTATGCATCTTTTGTCTTTTACTACAGATTTCTGTGGAAAGAAACAATTCTGAGTGTTTGACCAAGTTCTTTGTTTTTGTTTTTCCTTGTTTGTTTTCTTCTGAGATGGAGTCTTGCTCTGTTGCCCAGGCTGGAGTGCAGTGGTGTGATCTTGGCTCACTACAGCTTCTGCCTCCTGGGTTCAAGGCATTCTCCTGCCTCAGTCTCCTGAGTAACTGGCACTACAGGTACTTGTCACCATGCCTGGCTAATTTTTGTATTTTTACTAGAGACAGGGTTTCACCATGTTGGCCAGTCTGGTCTTGAACTCCTGACCTCAGGTGATCTGCCCTGTCTCCCCTTGGCCTCCCAAAGTGCTGGGATTACAGGCGTGAGTCATCATGCCCGGCCCGGGGCTTATTTTTTTAAAAATGTTACAGATATTAAAGTTTGTATATTTTCCTAGTAGCATCAACAACCTGTTGTTATCTAGATAACCATCCTTTCATCACTCAAATATAAATTGAGGGGCTAGGTGGGACCAGAGTTCTGCTAGACACCAGAAAAGCAAAGAGCCACAGAGTCCAATTCTTGCTCTGTGAAGTTTACAGCACAGCTAAGAAGACACAGAAAAGTCATTACAAGTGTTTTGAAGAAGTACAGGGTACAATAGGAGCAAAAGGTCAATTATCCAGACTGTGGCTCACTCTGATTTCCTGATTCTTCTTATATTTTATTATTTTATTAATTAAAAATTATTTATTTATTTTTTAGTAGAGATGGAGTTTCACTAAAAACTAGGCCAGGCTGGTCTCAAACGCCTGACCTCAACTGATTATCTCACCTTGGCGTCCCAAAGTGCTGGGATTACAGGCTTGAGCCACTGCACCCGGCTTCATTTTATTTTTTATAGAGACAAGGTCTCACTATGTTGCCCAGGCTAGTCTTGAATTCCTGGACTCAAGTGCTCCTTCTACCGTGGTCTCTCAAAGTGCTGGGATTACAGGCCTGAGCCACCACTGCCAGCCTCTTCTATTTCAAAACTGAAGAAAGAGAAAGCGAAGACACAAGAGACATTAAATGATGGTATGCATGTACATGTATCTTTCAAGAAGAACATTATTGGCCAGGTTCGGTGGCTCAAGCCTGTAATCCCAGCACTTTGGGAGGCCGAGGCGGGTGGATCATGAGGTCAAGAGATCGAGACCATCCTGGTCAACATGGTGAAACCCCGTCTCTACTAAAACTACAAAAAATTAGCTGGGCATGGTGGTGCGTGCCTGTAATCCCAGCTACTCAGGAGGCTGAGGCAGGAGAATTGCCTGAACCCAGGAGGCGGAGGTTGCGGTGAGCCGAGATCGCGCCATTGCACTCCAGCCTGGGTAACAAGAGTGAAATTCTTCCCCAAAAAAAAAAAGAAAAAAAAAAAAAAAAAAAGAAGATTATTCAGTCAAATAATTGGGGTTCTCTCAGACAACCTCTCTGGAATGTTTGCTTATGTATATTACCAGTGGTAGATATCCCAGATCCCCAAAGAAGAAACCAGGGAGTGGTGTAGAAGGGTGGCCATGTGGAGATGAACTAGATTCAGTTTTCTATTTTTTAAGTTTTATTTTTACTTACATGGCCGGGGCACTGGCTCATGCCTGTAATCCTAGCACTTTGAGAAACCAAGGCAGGAGGATCGCTTGAGCCCAGGAGTTTCAGAGAAGCCTGGGCAATATAGTGAGGCCCTGTCTCTCAAAAAAAATTTTCTAGGCCGGGTGCAGTGGCCCATGCCTGTAATCCCAGCACTTTGGGAGGCGGAGGCGGGTGGATCACGAGGTCAGGAGATCGAGACCATCCTGGCCAGCATGGTGAAACCCCATTTCTACTAAAAACACAAAAATTAGCTGGGTGTGGTGGTACAGATCTGTAATCCCAGCTACATGGGAGGCTGAGACAAGAGAATCCCTTGAACCCAGGAGGGGGAGGTTCAGCCTGGTGACAGAGCGAGACTCGGTCCCCCCACCAAAAAAATTTTTTAAATAAATAAATTTTATATTTACTTAGATGGAGACAGAGTCTCCGTATATTGCCCAGGCTGGTCTTGAACTCCTGATCTCATGTGATCTTCCCACCTGGGCTCTCCAAAGTGTTGGGATTACAGATGTGAGCCATTGAGCCCAACCAGTTTTCTTTCAAAAACAAACAAACAAACAAAAAACCAGAGGTGAGCAGGGCAAGAAAGCTGTGCCCTTCTGAGGAGCAGAGTTTAGGGTCTAATTCCTGCTGCGTTAGCCTCCGATTATACCAGTGGGGAGGGCCGATAACATCAGACGGGCCCAGGGCTGCGGAACTGGAGAGCCTTGGTTATTTACACTGACCTGGAAAATGTCAGGATAAATGACAGAAGGCGGGGGTTGCTGACTGCACTCCTTCTAGAAGTCTCAAGGCTTTGTGGCTATTGAGTTGTGTTGTGATTTTTCCCCCTCACCGTTGACTTGTCACCAAGTCACTGAGGAAGGATGGCCTATAAAATGGGGCGAGGGCTGGGGGATGGAAGGGCCTTAAGTGAGACAGGCACTCCCGACACAGGTCACAGTTTAAAAGACGATGGTTCAGACCGTTATGCGAAATGATCTCAGAGCGGCTGTTCACCTTCCCCAAAGCTGCATTAAGAAAAATTAGGATGGGTGACATCCCCTTTAGAAGACTGCCCCCCCAGGCTGAGGCTAGCCCTCTTATCGGCTGGCCAGGTCGAGGAGGGGGTGTGCGCAGGACCGCCCTCCAAGCCTGACCGCAGCCGGGGCCGGCGGGCACCAAGGCGGCCCCGCGCCAGGCTTGGCCTCCACGCCCGCTGGGTGCGCGCTCACGGTAGAAGCGCGCGCCCCCGGGCCTCGCGAGCGCGCTCCCCCACCCCTCGCTGTCGCACGCGCCGAACCTCGGCGTCCCTGCCCGCCCTGCGCTCCCACAGCCTGAGCGCCGCTCAGCTGACCCGCGGGCGCCAGACGCGGCGGCTCTCAGCTCGCAAGCGCAGCTGCGGCGGCGCGGGCCTCTCAGGCCGACACTCCCCCGGCGCCCCTCCCCCACCCGGTCGGGCTCTGGACCCGCCGCGCGCGAGCCCGCGGCCGCTTCCCCCGCTCGGAGCGAGGCGGCCGGCTGCGGCGGTGAGCGGCAGCTGCGCGGCCATGGGCGCGCCAGTGTCGCCCTAGGGCGGGAGCAGAGACCTCAGCCGGAGCGGTGGCGGCAGCCTCCACAGAAAGCCTTTTCGGGCGGCGGCGGCGGCCACTGCAGCAGCGCGGCCGAGATGAGCGGGAGCGGCGCGACGCCCGGCCAGGGCTCGGGCTCCGGCTCCTCCCCGGCCGCTTGCCGCTTCGCGCACTACTTCGTGCTGTGCGGGATCGACGCGGACAGCGGGCTGGAGCCTGACGAGCTGGCGGGTAAGGCCAGGGCTGCGGCGGTGCAGGGTCCCCTCCGGGGCGCGGGATCCAGACAAAGTCAGCTCCTGGCGGCGCCCCCCGTCGCTCTCTGGCCGAACGGGCGCTCGGGCGCGATTTAATGACATTGTTATTTATTCCATATGCGGGCTGTGCGGCTGCGCCCACCAGGGGCTTTCGCCTCCGGGCGCTGGGTTATTAATAACGGGCGCGGGGGTGGCCCCAAAGGCACGGCCCCCGCCTGGGGCGCCGGCCCCTTATCCCGTAGCCGCACGCGGAGGCGGCCTGTGACTCACCGGGCGTGCGGGCTGTCCCCCGGCCGCGGCGCCTGTCTCCCACCCGCCTGCCTTCCCGCCCCGGCCGGGAAGTTTCGGCCCCGCACGTGACGCCGCGCTCGGGCCTCTTCGGGGGAGGGGGAGTCGGACCCGGCTCGGCTCCAGCCGCTGGTAGCATCCGCGGAGGCGCCGGTGGCAGTGCGAGCGAGCGCGGGGCTGGTTGGGGCCGGTCGGACTTCATCCTGGACTCTTTCCTCTGCGCCGCCTCCGGCTCTGCGATGCCGGCCAAGTCACCTTTTGGAATCCTGTGGATTTGGTCGCGTCTGGGGAGCTGGCGGGGACCTTTGGACGCTCGGGACATATCACTGCGCTGTGTTGACACTGCCTACACTGCTCCCGAGTTTAAACTCAGTTGGGTGCACCGTGTGTTAGTATCTGGTTTTCCTGGAGGGGCACGGGTCCCTTCTCTTGACTCGTTTGATGGCGCAGTGCTGGGCTATGCTGGGGAAACGACGCCAGGAAAAGGGGCAGTTAAAGGGCGATGCGGGGGGCGCGGGAAGGGGGGCGGGGGGCGGCGGAGTGCGCAGTGTCGGGAGCAGGCCGGGGAGAAACCGCTGATTTCATTTTTCACGCCTGTTCCTTTCTGCTTGCCTCCGCGGGATCTGAATCTTGATTTGTTGTTGTCTTTAAATGGGTGAGACAGGTGACATCTACTGCCTGAACTTTGTGTCCGTGCAAAAGACTTAGGTCATAGCCTTTCAGAACAACTTCCTTTGGACCAATGATTCCTTATTGATTGCACCAACGTGAATTTTTCACTTTCCCTTTGGTGGGGGTGGGGGGAGCTGGGAAGAATACATTAAATAATAAACAATAGTAAACAAAACTGTTAAGCCTTAAAATAACAGTCCCCACCAACCCACGTCTTAGCTTTTTCTTAGCTTCACAGTAAAACATTCTTTTTTTTTTTTTTTCATATTCTTTGGAGGTAGAAATACAAAACATTTTCAACAAAAATTGTTAGTCTAGTTTTAGTTAAAATTTTGTAGAGAATAGGGTACCAGGTTTTTCTGTATGTGTAATTATGTAATCACATTGTTTCTTCAACTAAGATTTCATGTACGTGTTAAGAATGGCTTTGTTAAAGGATACAAAGAAAAAGTCTGCAGAAATATTTGGAGAGATTCCTCTCTTGAGATTGGTGAAGGGATATTCTTATTTTTTAGACTCCTTTATTCCCTAAACATCCTGAACATTTGTGGCGCCAGGGTCACTTGGAGGCCTTCTGTCAGTGATGACTGATGAAAGGAAAAAAGCCTGTATTTTTTCTTCTCCATTTGCCTACTGAAGCTAAAACAGTACCTTTTAGGTGTGACCTAGGACTCTTTAGGGACAATGCAAATTATGTTAACAAAAGCAAAAATTAGATATTAATGCATTTTAAGAAGCAAACTATGATGTCTCCTTTTGCAAAACTATGTGAATGTGGGTAATTGGGATTTCTGCTTCTCATAATATTTAATGTATTCAGGTAATAATGTATTTTCCCTGGTAGTATTTCAGTATCATTCATCCAACAAATAGTTTTGAAAGCGTCTATCTGTAGTCTGTTTTTTAGGCACTGGGGACAGCTGTGAAGAAAGCAGTCAGAAATCCCTGCCATCATGGAGCATACGTTCTAGTGTAAACAGATAATGAAAATACAATTATCCCTCCCCCCCCATCCATGGGGGATGGATTTTAGAGTGTAGCACCAAATCCTCGGATGCTCCAGTCTCATAACAAAATGGTGTTGTATTTATATATAACGTATGAACATTTTCCTGCATACTTTGTCATCTCTAGATTACTTATAATACCTATTACATTGTAATGTTATGTAAATAGTTGTTATACTGTCTTCTTTAGGAAATAATGACAAGAAAAAAGTCTGCACATGTTCAGTACTGATACAACCATTGTAGGCCTAACTACATTTGCAATCTGTGCTTGGTTGAATCTGTGGATGCAGATTCCACGTAGAGTGCCCACTGTATATAGTTCTCCAGATGTTAATGAGTGCTCTGAGGAAAAATAAAGTGGGGGAGTAGATTCAGGGACATGCCAGCAGAGTGGTGGGATGGTGGGGTTGTGATTTTAAATAAGATGGTTAGGAAAGGTCTCACAGGGAGGGTGGCATTTGAACAGAGCCTCGAAGGAGGTGAGGAAGTAGGCCAAATGGATCACCTAGGGGCACAGCATTGCAGGCTGTGACAGCAGGTGACAAAACACATTCGTTTTTTCCACCCCTGAAGAAATAGCAGGTGCAAACACCCTGAGTGGGACAGTCCCTAGTTTGTGCTGGTAACAGCAAGGAGTCCAGTATGGCTGGAGCTGAGGGAGAGGGAGAGTAGTAGGTAAGATCAAAGAGAAAGAACAGGGGAGATTATATAGGGCCTCATGCAGTAGTTAGACTTTTAACTCTGGGATGGGAAAGCACTGGAAGGTTTTGGGCAGAGTAATGACAAGATCTGATGTACCTTCTAAAAGCTATTGTGGCTGCCATGTTGGGTAGACTATAAAAGGGGAGGGGTAGAGACAAGAGACAAGTTAGGGAACTCTTTTAGTATTTGAGGTGAGAGGCTGGGTGTGGTGGCTTACACTTGTAATCCTAGCACTTTGGAAGGCTGAGGCAGGTGGATCACTTGAGGTCAGGAGTCCAAGACCAGCCTGGCCAATATGGTGAAATCTCACCTCTACTAAAAATACAAAAATTAGCCAGGTGTGGTGGCACACGCCACCACAGTTACTTGAAGGCTGAAGCAGGAGAGTTGCTTGAACCCAGGAGGTAGAGGTTGCAGTAAGCTGAGATCACCCCACTGCACTCCAGCCTGGGTAATAGAGGGAGACCGTCTGAAAAAAAAGTGTTTAAGGTAAGAGATGCTGTTGGCTTGGTGAAGTATCAGAAAGGACTCATTCTAGATAGATGATGAAGGTAGAGCCAACAATATTTGCTGATAACTTGTATGGATATTTAGGAATTCTATGAATATGATTCAAAGAAAGTGATCAAAGATGACTCCAAGGTTTTTGGACTGAACAACTGTAAGCTTCTCTCCTGAAATAGGAAGACTGATGGAGAATCAGACTGGGGTTCAGTTCAGATTAGGCCATACTAAGTTTGATGTGTCCATTAGACATTCAGATGGAGATGTCACATAGACAAGACATCTCTCAGGAAGATCTGCACTATAGGTGTGAATTTAAAGCCATGAAATTAGATGAAGCCACTTAAGGGTTGAGTGTAGATAGAAAAGAGAGGAGGACACTCAATGATTGAGCACTGGGGCCATTCTAGCATACATAGGTGGGGAGGATGAGTAGGAGACAGCCTGGGAGATTGAGGAGTATGGTTAGTGACATGGCAGGAAAACAGGAGAATATAGTATCATGTTCTCTGCTAAGAATTTTCTTGACTATTTCTGTAGAGAAACATTTGTGGATCATGAAACTGTTAGGCAAATTAGCCAGAAGGTAGTTTCTGTTTTGCGGCATTAATTTCAAAGTTAATGATAGTTAAGTTTCTATTTTGCTTTGTTGGAGCTGATCTGTCTTTATCACAGTTTCTTAGCAAGTTGTCACCCTGCCTGTAGAAGGTCTTAATTGACTTTTATTAAACATACATTCTACTAGTTGCTTCAGACTTTCTTAACATACGCATGTTCCTAGAATTCACACTCTGCAGGTGGTAGGACATTGAAATCAAAGACAGTAACAGTTAAATAGACTAAGACTTTATAATAAAAGTTATCAAGGCTTCAAATGGTTTTTAGACATTCCTAGTAAAACCCAGCTTAAACAGCAATGGAAAAGACTTTTTTCACCTCAAATATGTAGATCCCTTAACAGCTGAAACTAATCTAAATATATACATTAAAATATATTTTAAAATGGAGGACTCAGAAACTGTATGGTGATTGATGTCCACCTGTATATTCTGATATATTTACCTGTTGTCCTTTCTGTACCACATCTTAGTTGTTGTGCTTCTCCTACTCACTGTATATTTTTAAGATGCACTTTTTCCATAAGCAAAACATCCTTTAAGTGTTAAAGGAGTATTGTTTAAATTTCCTTTGAACATTAAAGATAAGGAAAAGGTTTCAGAGCGGGATTCTTTATTGCATGTAGAAGAAAGGAGGTATAAATGGAGGTAAATTATGCAATTAGTTGACATCAGGGAAGGCAGACATCATTTTGAAATCTTATTTTATTTATTTTATTTTTTTTGAGATGGAGTCTCGTTCTGTTGCCCAGGCTGGAGTGCAGTGGTACAATCTTGGCTCACTGCAACCTCTGCCTCCTGGGTTCAAGCAATTCTGCCTCAGCCTCCCAAGTAGCTGGGACTACATGTGCATACTGCCACGCTTGGCTGATTTTTCGTATTTTAGTAGAGATTGGGTTTCACCATGTTGCCCATGCTCGTCACAAACCCATGAGCTCAGGCAGTCTGTCTGCCTCGGCCTCCCAAAGTGTTGGGATTTACAGGCATGAGCCACTGTGCCTGGCCTGAAATCTCATTTTATAGCTCTTATTTCCTTTAAGACCTGGCTGTAGGAATACACATGGCTTAAATTTACAGCAGTGAATCTTTTAAGCAATGGCAAAATGAAGGACATGATGAGGGCTTTATTAAGTAACATAAATATACAAGCCCTCCAAGAGAGAAGGGACTTTGCCTGTTTCATA